GCCGGGCTGCTGCAGCCGCGCCTTCCGTGGGAGCGCCGCCCGTGCGTCGCGGCGAGCCGGGCTGCCCTGCCGCAGGCCGGGGGCGCGGGGCCGCGCGAGGCGCCGAGCTGCGCGCGACGGGGATGCTTGCGGGGCGGAAGCAGCCTCTCGGGAAGGGGGCTCTGCGGAGGGCAGCCTCTCGCCCGCAAGGCGGGCCCCCCGGCCCGGGGCCGTGCGTCCCGGGAGAGCAGAGCGAGAGCCGAGGCCGGCGCCCCGCAGGAGCCGGCCAGGCGCCTGGGGAGCCCGCTGCAGGACGGGCGCACCCGTGTCCCGATTTTTGCGTTCCCATGGGTGGTTGGTCGCTGTGGGTAGGATGCTGGGCAAGGCCGGCCCCTGCTGCAGCGCAACATGGCTCGCCTGCCTCCGTTGAGCCCCCCCCGCTGCGGCCCCCCCGCTGCGGCCCCCCCGCAGGCCGACCGCTGCCGCCAAAGGGCCGGGCTGCCGGTGGGCTCCGCTTGCCTTCTTCTGACTCAACCTGGAAGTCCCATATCGCCCTCACCGCTGGCAGCTGTGGCCGCTCCTTTCTTCAAAGAACTCGGCTTGCATCACTTCCCTTCCCCTGCTCTCCATCTTATCCCCGCAGCGACCCTGTGAGGTAGGTTAGGCTGAGAGTCTGACTGGCCCAAAGTCACCCAGTTGGCTCCATGGCTGAGCAGGAACTAGAACCCGAATCTCCTGAATCCCCACCCTGCCCTCCTCCCCACGGCACTGCCCTCCGGCTTTCCCATGGGTCAGCCTCCCATCTTACTGTGGGAAATCTTGCAAACCCTGCGTTCCGTGAAGAGCCACTGCCGTTACAGCATAACCCTGGGCATGCCTACTCAGAAGGAAGCCTATTGCATCCTCTGTGAATCATTTCTTAGTAAAGGAGTTTAGAATTGCATATTGCAAGCCTGCTTTTTCAAGAATTTACTGCCAGTTAAATAGGCTGGATGATCCCAAGTTCTGAAGGACAGACCTGGATGTTCCCCTCGGATGTGCCCAGACATGGGTTTAGAAAGGAAGGTGCTACCATGAGCCCGAAGAACAAGACTGCCAGCACCTGCTCACATTCCTGTAAAATGGGATAAAGATGGGCGTTGTTTTTCCCCTCACGTCTCCACGTTGCCTGCTTTGTGCGCAGGGACCCTTTTTCTTCAGAATAAAGGTTTTTGTTTTTGTTTTGCCTCACACCCTCGCGTATGTCTGTGAGTGGACATTGCACACACTGGACTGAATCCCACTTCTCTGGACAACTCTTCTAGCCCTGGAAAGGAAGAAAATCATGGGATGTGCTTCTTTCATGATAGATGGCAGAGGGGAGTTTACTTAAGCTGTTTGCCACAGCCAGAGAACAGTCATTCGCTGGCAGCTCAGCTCACACCTGCATGTACATGAATTTGGGGCAGCGGCAGGTCCACAAAAATGGCACTTGCTCAGACGGAATTGTCTTTGTCATTTTCGTCCTGGTTCCCCCACTTGGTGAGAAGACAGTCTTGCGGCTCTTCTCAATTTCCTTTGGTCTGAATGAGACTAACTGGGAGCCATCGACAAACCTGGCTACTCCACTGCTCCCCACGACTAATCGCTTCTGAAAGAGTTAAAGAGCACCAGTCCCAAAACAGACCCTTTCAGACCCCACTCCTGGGATCCTTCCTTTGCATTTACTGATGAGTTGAGCTGATCAGCTCCCTGCTTTCTGTTCTCAGACTAGTTCCCACACCGTAAGAGGCGCTCCTCTCCTATCCTATAGCTGCTAAATTTACCGGAGGTGCATTGGTGAAGGACGTTGTCAAAGCCTTTGTGCCTGCGTGCCCCGTGGCTGGACCTGGGAGCCTCCACACTGCGAGGCTTGCACACATCCGGCTGGGAAACGAGGTGCAGCCGCCACGCTGCATGCCGAGCATTTTCTTTAGACGGTCACATTTGGCCATCCGGGTTTAGTGCAAGGGAGCAAGAGGAAAGGAAGCCGGGTGCCGGGGGACCGGCAGAACCCCGTGCTCCCAGCCTGCTCCCCTCCCCGCCTCTGGCAAGTCCTTGTTTTCCCCACTGAGGCCCAAGTTCGGGGGAGCAGCTGGCAAGCTCCAGGGCTGGGAGCTCAGCCTTCAGAGCCCCAGCTCCAGGACGGACGGTGAGATCCCACGGGGGGGGCGCCCAAAGGCCGTGGCCTCGCAGGTGGCCCTGGGGTGCTGCAGCAGTGGGCCCCCGGTCTGTCAAATTGCTGCAGCAAACAAGGCCCACAGGCCACCTCCCCGGCCCCTTGTAGTTCCTTGCTGACACTCAGAGTTGCTGAGGGATTGCCAAAACGTAGAAACACAGAAAACAGAGGGAGTCAGAAGGGGCCTCCCGGGCCATCTAGTCTGACCCCCGGCTCCAGCCGGCTCTGCTCACGACATGCCCACCATGTGGACGTCCAGCCTATCCTTGAACACCCGCACCGATGGGGCCTCAACCCCCTCCCGGGAAAGCCTTTGCCAAAGAAAAACCTTTGCCAAAGAATTCTGAACTGCCCGCAAGGCAAGATGGGGCTTGCGGCTCTGCTCCGGCCATGCCTCACGCCAGGGGCGCTCCTCTCCCGCTTAGCCTGCTGGAGGCCCCACCCAATAAGCCCTTCCCAGTTTTCCCTGGAGTGCAAATGCTACCGGAAGCCCCCAGCACACCACACCTGCTCCCTGCACCCCTTGGCCTTCCATGGTGCCTGGTCTGCCCGTGCCCACTCCCACAACCAGGCCCCCCAGCTCCCGCCTTGGCCCGAGGGTTCTGGCATTCACACAGGAACCTGTGTGCAGCATCCGCCCGTAAATGTGCATTTTCTCCCATTGCCCGTTTGGCTTCTTGACTGGCTGCCCATCCTGTTTTCCTGCATGCTGATAGTCCATCTCTACCCTGTCCCTATTTGGGCAATCCTTTGCACAGCGACCACCCGGTTAGACAATTCGCATCTCTCTCTCTCTCTCTCTCTCTCTCTCTCTCTCTCTCTCTCTCTCTCTCTCTCTCTCACAGACACACACACACAGACACACACACACACACGGGGGATCTTTGGAATGTTTCTAACCCATGCAAATTGACATTGGATAGCATAGAAATGTAATCAAATACACAGGAGAAACAGAAATACGAAGCACGTGTCTTTGAGGCCTGTGGGGTATGTGCAGAGAGAGGCGGCTCTTCACGTTCCTGGTCCCAAGCCGTGACAAGCCTTAAAGGCCAGTCCCAGCCCTCAGGCTGCAGGACCAGCTGGCGCTGCTGGGCCCTTTTCCGGGCCTGAGCCACAGGCAGCCGCCTGGTCGCTGAGCAATAGGCAGAGTGGCTCAGGCGTGTACCTGCTTGCACGATCTCTTGATTCATCGACGCCGAGCCAGAAGCCGGCCACACGGTCCTTTTTGAGACCCAGCAGCCGGACGCTGCGTAGTCTTCCAATGTGACCCGCGTTGCAGATTGGTGCGACCGCGCTGGGGGGCAGGCCACAGGCTCTGCGCCCCCCCCACCGAGAATCCCGTGGCTGGGGTGGGGCTGAGCAGAAGAGAGTCAGAGCAACTGCTCCCAAAGGAGGCTGGCGATGCCCGTGGCAGTGGGGCTCTTTATCCACTGCAGCTTCTATGCTGAGCTTGACGGGGCTGTGCCTGCAATCCATGCTGGTGATCCCGCTTTGCGATCGAGTGTCGCACCATGGATCGCTCCTACAAGGCTCCAGATAGAAGCTGGCTCCACCACGTCCGGAGGTATGAATGCCGACTGGCGGCAGCTCCGCAGGGTTCTGCGCAGGATTCCCCCGACCCCTGGTGGAAGGCGCTGCCCGGGATGGAGCCTGGGACGTCATCGCACTCGGCAGGGCTGCACCCCTGACCCCGTGCCCGGTCCTTGGTCTGCTGCTTACACTGCCTCACTGGTTCGCTCTTTGCCCTCTCTGGGGAGCCGCTGGGGGCCGGGGGGGGGGGGGGCGCCTGCCATCCCTTGGAGGCCAGCTCCTGGTCCTGCACACCAAGTAGCACCATTTCCAGAACCCCTCACTGAGAAACCACCCTGCTTGCTCCCTTGCCTCAGGAAAGCTGCCAAGTTACGCTCTAGCAAGCTTTGCCCAAAAGGCTTTAAACTTAACTGGGGGGGGGGGCAGTCCCCCCAGCAACTTGGGACAAGTGAGGGGAGAGGACCAGGTTTTCGGGTCCAGGGTGTTAGATGTGCTGCAGGGGGTGGCGGGGCTCCTACGAAGAGGGTGCCAGTATCAGGGAGGATGGGAGGAAGGAGGAGGCCGGGGATCCCAAAGAAAGGGATCTGTGGGAAGTCGCTGAGATGCATGTACACCAATGCTAGGAGCATGGGAAACAAGCAGGAAGCGCTTGAGGCTCCCCTGGGAATAGGAGGGTCTGACCTGGTGGGGATCACGGCACTTGGTGGAATGAAAGGCAAGGCTGGAAAGTAAACACTGAGGGGCATCATCTTTTTAGAAAGGACAGGAAGGGAAAGAGGGGCGGGGGCGTTGCGTTACATGTCCGGGAAGGGATAGGATGCAGTGAGATAGAGGGTGACGCAGATGGGGATCTGGTGGAGGCAGTCTGGGTGAAACATGGGGGTTTCGACACAGGAAGGGATTTGACAGTGGCGGTATGTTATCGCCCTCCAGGTCAGCTTGAGACCCTCGGACCTGGACAATGTCCTGACAGGCCGGATTCTAAGGCTATCTCGGGGGAGACACACGGTAATTATGGGAGATTTCAATTTCCCAGATATTAGCTGGGAGTCTCACTTGGCAGTGACGGCCAGGTCACGTTGCTTCCTAGACGCTACAGAGGGAGGGTTTTCCACACAGAGGGCCCGAGAGGCGACGAGGGGGGGAAACATCCTTGACTTGGTCTTGACAACAGGGAGGAGCCGATAGATGAAGTACAGATTAGGGGAGCTCTGGATGCGAGTGATGACTCCATCCTTTGCTTTGAGATCAGGGGACTGCGGACGTGCAGCAGGTTGAGCACTAGAAGCTGGGACCTCAAGAGGGCCAACTTTGGCCAACTGAAGGCCAGACTGGGGAAAGTCTCCTGGGATGGGTTACTGGAAGGTAAGCGAGTTGAGGAGGGGTGGCTGGCACTCAAAAGGGAGGTTTTGGAGGCGCAAGCCTTGACGATACCTCTAGTCAGTAAGGTGGGGAGGCGGAGGAGAGTGCCGCCTTGGATGCAAAAGGAGGTACCTCCATAGGAAGTGGGTACTGGGGCAAATAGACAAAAGGGTATACTGGGAGGAGGAGGCCTGTTACAGAAGGATTCTTCGTAAGGCTAAGGCTGATTGCGAGCTGAGACTTGCCAAGAATATCAAGAGCAACAAAAAGGGCTTCTTTCAGCATGTAAATAGGAAGAGGAAGGGGAGACAAGTGGTGGGACCACTAAATAAGGAGGAAGGAGATCCAGTGACTGATATGAGGGAACAGGCACAGATGCTAAATGACTATTTTGCCTCTGTCTTCTCCCCAAAGCAGGACGGGGGAGATCCGCATAGGAGATTAGATGAGGCCGGGGACTTAGGGGCACAAATTAGTCACCCCCCCTTGAAGTCAAGGGGCTCCTCAGGGCATTGGACATTACAAAGGCGCCAGGCCCCGACGGGTTACACCCGAGAGTACTTAGAGAGTTGGCCGGGGTTCTCTCACGCCCTCTGGCCTCCATTTTTGAGGCCTCGTGGAGAACAGGTGAAGCTCCAGAGGACTGGAGGGTGGCGTCAGTAGTCCCAGTTTTCAAAAAGGGTAGTAGAAGGGACATGGGGAATTACAGACCGGTTAGCCTTACATCCATTGAAGGAAAAACAATGGAAAGGCTCATAATAGCGAGAGATCTAGCAATGCTAGATAGGGAAGGGAGGCTGGCGGCCACACAACACGGCTTCCGCAAAAACAGGTCCTGCCAGACAAACCTTGTGGGATTCTATGACAAGGTTTCGAGATGGCTAGATGGAGGGGATGCAGTGGATGTGGTTTACCTGCATTTCAGCAAGGCCTTTGACAAAGTGCCCCATGATATCCGGGTTGAGAAATTGAGGGGTTTTGGGATAGACCGATGCACTGCCTCTTGCCTGAGGGACCGAAAGCAGAGGGCTACTATTAGTGGGGAATCACTGGGATGGCGGATGGTGACAAGCCCTGGGACTGATCCTGTTCAATCTTTTCATCAATGACATGGAAGAAGGGGTGAACAGTCTGCTGATCAAATTCGCAGACGACACTAAAACTGGAGCAGAGGCCACAACTGAGGAGCAGGTACTCCAGATCCAAAAGGATCTGGACAGACTATGGAAGTGGGCAGGAGACAACAGGATGGCGTTCAGTGTGGGTAAGTGAAAGGTCTTGCACTTGGGGCATAGGAATGGGTGTCATAAGTACAGGTCAGGGGACAAGTGGCTGGAGAGCAGCACTTGTGAAAGGGACCTCGGGGTGCTGGTTGACTGCAGGCTGAACATGAGTCAGCCGTGTGATGCGGTGGCCAAGAGGGCGAGCGCCACCCTTGGTTGCATAGCCAGAAGTGTGGCTTCTAGATCGAGAGAGGTACCTCTGCCACTCTATGCGACTCTGGTGCGCCCGCAACTGGAGTCTTGTGCTCAGTTCAGGGCCCCTCATTACAAGAGGGACATAGCAAGGTTGGAATCAGTGCAGCGAAGGGCCACATGGATGGTGGCTGGATTGCAGGGAAAGTCGTATGAGGTGAGGCTGAGGGAACTGGGTCTCTTCAGCCTGGAGAAGAGGAGACTCAGAGGGGATCTGTTGGGGACATACAGGTATGTGAGGGGGTGTCACATGGAGGTGGGTAGAGACCTGTTCTTCCCTGCAGTGGAAGGCTGGACCTGCTCCAACAGAGCCAAGCTCAGGGAACCAAGATTTAGGGTGGATGCCAGGAAGTACTTCCTAATGGTTAGGGCCCTTGGTATGGAATGGGCTTCCCCGGGAGGTGGT